CATCCCCCCCCCCCCTGATTTTTTGTCCTGGATCTTCCTTTGGGACAAGAACCGACCTTTGCTTTCAGCAGGATGCAGCAGCCCTGTCTTCAGCCCAAGAAACCAAACTGCAGACAGCTCATGCCCTTCTTCTTTGGAGGAGAGCCCCGCTGTTGTGTCAACTTGAGGACTTCCATTAAAATATTTGAGGGGGTTTTCTCTTTGTACAGAGGAGAACCCAACATTTACAAAGCGCCGTGAAGGCAAAAAGCCCCTAAAGCCTTCATCTGGGGTCCTTGGAACAGTTTTCTGAGCTTTCAGTTTGACTTTTATTTCGCATCATATTCAAAAATGCGGGAGTTCTTGAAGGAAGAATGAAATTAATGTCTCCCTTTCCCTGGAAATATCTGGAAATATTAAAAGTCTGACCTCATGAGGATGCCCCTTCCCACCGCCCGCTCTCATGCTTGGCCCCGCCACCGTCCTCATTAGCATCCAACCCAATTTTTGGGAGAAAATTTCAAGTTGCTCGTGTGAAATGTTTACCTGGGCAGTATGTCCCTGGCGGCTTTCCGCCACGGTGCTGATCTGAGCACAGGCCTGGAACACGTGGCAAGAGTCCCCACCGAGCACCCAAGGTCCCCGGTGCTCAGTTCCTGTCAGGATGGGGCTGTGCTGGGAGCAAGTGGGACGGGCAGCCCACGGTCTTGCTCAGCCCCTGCCTCTGTCGCTCTTGACATTGCAAATGTCCAAAACTATCAGGTTTTGACTTGCTTCAAAACCAGGATTAAACCCCTTATCTAACTACAGAGGGAGCTTCTTATTTCTGTCCTCAAACACAAAAATCCTCCCACTTGCCTGATGTGATGATCTGGTACCTGCCACCGCCTGGAGTTCAGAAATAAAAGGAGTTTAGAGATTGAGAAAAGTTGTGCCAAGAGCATAAAAAAGGGGCTTCAGCATCCATAAAGTGGCATTAATTTTTAGGAATAAATATAGAAGCTCTGGCCCCATCCACCACACTGCTTCCTTTGGACAAGAAAGAGCAAACAGGAAGAGAAGAAAAGCAAGTTCCTCTAATTCTGTTTTATTCAGAATATGGACTTGGCCCTTTCTCCTCTGATCAGATGAGAAGCCCTCCATTCCCAGCAGAATGGGAAAGGGACAGATGACAGGGTTTGGGGCGTAATGTACAGAAAACGTGCCCTTCCCACCTAGTCCACGACATAAATTGTTTGCAGTGCTGCCTCAGGAGACCTAGAAAGCACTTTGGGTCAGTTGGCTGCACCCGTCGCCAGGGTGGGTGAGCAGTGAAAACACCCACGACTCCAGTAGCAAAACGTGAGGGAACTCTGGTAAAGGAGAAACAATTGCAACAACAGAAATGGGACATAAGAGGGAAGAAAGTTGTGAATTGGTATGAGAGACCGAAACGGCTGCCTTGGTTACCCATCAGGGTCTGGAGAAGATTTGCTGTCCTTTGGCTGTGGGGTCAATCACAGAATCCCAGAATCATCCGGATTGGAAAAGCCCTTGGAGCTCCTCCAGCCCCACCATGACCCTCACCCTGACCGTTCCCAACTCCCCCAGACCCCTCAGCGCTGGCTCAGCCCGACTCTTCAACCCCTCCAGGGATTCCGGGGACTCCCCCCTGCCCTGGGCAGCCCATTCCAACGCCCAACAGCCCCTTCTGCACAGAAATCCTTCCTCAGAGCCAGCCTGACCCTGCCCTGGGCAGCGTGAGGCCATTCCCTCGGGGCCTGCTGCGTGTTTTTCTTCTCCTTCATCCCTTCCAAAGCCTTCCCCAAATGGCCACCGCTCCTGCAGCACCCAGAGCATACCCTGATATTCACCTTAATTTGCCCCCAAATTGCAAATCGCATTTACGTGGGTCTCGGGAGGGGAGAAATGCAGCGGAGACGGAGCCAGCAGACGCTGCAGGGCTGGGGGGGACGTGCTGGGGTGGGAGCCGCGGGGATGCGGGGAGCGGTACCCAGCCCTTGTCGTACAATGCACCAGCCAAAGAGAGAGAATTTGTATCAAAACTTTATTTATTAAACAAAAAAAAAAAAATGCACCATCGGAATAACATTTCTATAAAAAAATGAATATGAGACTGTTCTACAGTGCATTACAAAACCCCCGTTTTCCTCGTGTAGTAGTATACAAGATTGTGTGTAGAAACAGTCATTTATTTTTAAACCGTCAGCAAGTTTCCTTTGTCATAGAACAAGATTTACACTTAAATATTGCAGTCACTATTCTAATTTGGTTAACAATGCTAGAGTCTGACAATTTAAAGAAACTGTTTATAGGCTCAAAATGCCGTCTTTAGGCCTTTCGGAATGACAAGATTTTTTTTTTTTTTTTTTTTATTTTTTTTTTTTTT